CAAAAAGACTCGCAGAAGTAGACTCAACAGTTGTCTGTAACAAAATTTTGTCATTTCCCTATCCATGAAATGCACAGGGGTTACTCCTGGCTCATACACTCAGGCATTACTGCTGGTAGTATGCTTTAAAAAATAGAAGTAGGGAGTGGTAAAAAGGATACACCACACATATCTATTCCTCTATAGAGCTCACCTCCAACAAATGTTTTCAGCGAGCACTAAAAGCATATACTGGTGGGCTGGAGTGATAGCACAGCTGGGAGGGCGTTTGCCTTGCACATGGCCAACCCAGGTTCGATTCCCAGCATCCCATATGGTCCCCCAAGCACCGCCGCAAGTGATTCCTAAGTACATGAGCCAGGAGTAACCCCTGAGCATTGCCGGGTGTGACCCAAAAAGAAAAAAAAAAATATATATATATATACATATACTGGAGCTGGAGATAAAGCAGGTGCTTTGCATGTGACCATGAGCCTGGTTAAATTCCTGTGACCCTAGTTCAATCTCCTTCAATCTCCGCAGCAATAGGACATCGGGTAGGGTAGGGGACTTGCCTGTATGTGGCCAACCCAGGTTGGTCCCCCAAGCCCAGCCAGGGGTGATTCCTAAGTACTGAGCCAGGGGTTATCCCTGAGCACCATCAGGTATGGCCCCCAAACAAAAAATAAATAAAGCTTTTGAGGCCTGATCTCCAAACTGGGCATCTTTTAGCTCAGAGGCCACAAAAGAAGAGAAGCAGGGGAACTGGTGACTAAAGCACCCTGATGGAGAATTAACTCGGGCATTCTGATGTCAGCCTTAGACACTCTTCCCAGTGATCTAAAAGAGGTCCCCTCAACTTCAGGGAGTCACTCAAGGAGGTCAGAGGTCAAGACCCCAAATGGCTAAAGACCCCAAAAAGCCTGAGGCCTACGAGTTTAGACCCAGGATCAAGGTCCTTCATCACCATGAAATAAGAGGACACGATTCATTTAACAGGAGCTGGGAAAGGAAAGGCGATCCCTGAAGAGAGGCTTACTAGAGAAATCTATTAGGTACCTGAGGGGTTTGTGAGGCTAGAACTAGCCAATTGGTACAAAGCCTCAGCACTGTCCAGTCCTCTCAGTAGACTGTGACATCAGTCACTGTTTTTGCCACACAGGAAAAGCATCTCCCTGTGTTCCTCAGTACCTAACGCAGGTTTTTGGAGACCATGAAGCACTTTGGTGCCAAGACAGGTGGTAGCAACTGCAGTTTAAAGAGAATGAATCCCAGTACTATCAAATTTCTTTATAGCCTGCAGGCAGACATGGCATGAGACAGAGATCATCTGGAAAACACCCTGAATTCCATAGGGGTCAAGGCATGCTGATAACTCAAAAGCAATATTCACTCATTCAACATTTGTTGAGCACTTACTTTGTATCTGGTGTCCTTCTAGGCATGGGAGACAGTTAAGACAGATCCTCTCCAAGGACTAAGAGCTATTTACCTAGAAGTTAGCCAGGTATTTAACAACGCATTGTGATCGGTAGCAAGAGGGAGATGACCTGCTGGGAGGCACCACTGAGTAATTCAGCAAAAAAATTGAGTGTTAGAAGTTGATAAGAAGTGGCATTTGGCAGTGAGAATGGCACAAAGCAAAGCCACAGGTATAAGGAGTTGCTGGTAGGCCAGGAACACAGCTTAGCAACAAAGTGAGCCTCGTATGTGTGAGGCCTTGAATTTGATTCCTGACACCTTAGAAAAAATAAAAATAAATAAAAGAAAAGGACTGGAGAGATTATACAGCAGTTAGGCAGCTTGCCTTGCCGGCGGCGGATCAGAATTTGACCCTCAGCACCCCATAATGGCCCCTGAAACCTTGCCAGGAGTGATTCTTGATTGCAGAGCCAGGACTAACCCTGAGCACCAACTGGGTGTGGCCCACAAACAAAAACAACCTCCCCTTCCCCTCCCTGCAAAAAATGGACTTACTGCTTTCCAGAAAAACAATTGAGTTTGGGAATACACAGAAGTGCATAGTAGGAAAGGTCTCACAGAGGAGTCAGAGCTCAAAAGGCCTTTTACACCATGCTAAAGGAAGCCAGTTTTAGCCTAAAGACATTGGTGAGCCCCTAATGGACAGCAAGCAAGGTCTTTGCTTTTGGGTTTTTTTTTTTTTTGACAGTGCCGCTGAGCAACATTGCCTTGCACACAGCCAACCCAAGTTCAATCTCCTTCATCCCATACTACAGCTCAAGGCTGCCAGGAGTGATTCTTGAGTGCAGAGCCAGAAGTAACCCCTGAACACAGAGCCAGGAGTAACTCCTGAGCACCACTGGTGTAGCTCAAAACCAAGCCAACAAAGATGCTTCTTCCCTGGGCCAAAGAGAGAGCAAAGTGGTTAAGATGCTTGCCCTGCATGCAGCTGACAGGATTCAATCCTCAATACCCTACATGTGTCAAGCGATCCCTGAGCACAGAGCCAGGAGTAAGCCCTGAGCAGAGCCGGGTGTGGCCCAATAAACAAACAGGAAAATGACACGCCCCAGAAAAACCAAAGTCTTCATGGGACAGATGTGCCTCAGCTTTCCTGGCTACACCAGAAGGGTGGTGCCCACCCCCAGGTCACGCCCACGATGGCATGGCAGGCGCTGATGCCAGGTGTGGGGATTTATGAGACGTGCGCAGTCACGACATGCCACTTACGGAGAACAACTAGAAAAGGATGAAAGGGTAAGCCCAGGGCCAGCAGGACCCACGGACTGAGCTTGTTCTGACACACTTTTAGGAAGTGAAACAAGAAGGCTGGGGGCCATCCTGGGCACAGAACGGTCTCTGTGTGCAGAAGGAAGCATGCCCCACCAGTCTGGCAGCCCCCCCAGACTCAGGCCCCCAGCACGTGTCAACTGGCCTGGGGTGAAAGCACGCGCCACCACCATAACAGGATGCCCGAATTTCCTCCTAACTCCCCCCACACTGACACTGGGGTGCAGGGGGGAAGAAGGTGGTACAGAATGTTCTTTCGGAGCTAAGGGAAAGGAGACTGGGGATGAAGTAGGCTGTCCAGATCCTACTACCACACTGGCAGGCCAGGTCGGCACCCAGGGCTGACTCACGGGGCGTCGGGAAGCACACTTTCCATTTCAAGTCTTTCAAGGCACTTGGGGTGAAGCCTCTGCTTGTTTCACACGCAAGAGATTGTTGTACACAACCTCTCAGGGATCTGAATCTTGGGGAACGAGTGGAGCTTTGGGTGCTGGGGAGATAATATAGGAGTGAAAGCACTTGCTTTTGCATGCAGTTGACCTGGGTTCAATCCCGGGCTTTGCATAGGTACCCTGAGCACTGGTGGGTTGTGTGGCTCTCCCTCACCCCCCAAATAGTCCAGGGGAGCCTGGTGGGTTCAACTCAGAATAAACTTAGATGCTCTGGCCTCTGCTCATGTTTCTGCCATCTGTGACAAGTCGCTTCATTTCACATCCTCCCTTGTATGGGTAGGGATAAGGTGACAGTCTTAAGTTTCTGTGGACGGAACGGAAGTAGGAGAATAGCTCATGAAGTGAAAAAAAAAATTTTATTTTTTTCTAATCTTTTACAAAGGCTCTACAACAGTATTTTTATCACCACTGTCATCATAACTAGGTGTGAAGGCAACCTTCACAAGCTCATTCAGCCATGGAAAGGAAGACAGCCTTCCTCCGGCTGTTCTCAGGAAAACTAAAGCAGAAGTGGAACAAATAAATATGTGCTTAAGAGTAAGGCTCAGGGGGCTGGAGAGATAGCACAGCGGGTAGGGCGTTTGCCTTTCACGTGGCCAACCCGGGTTCGATCCCCAGCATCCCATATGGTCCCCTGAGCACCGCCGGGGGTAATTCCTGAGTGCAGAGCCAGGAGGAACCCCTGTGCATCGGCGGGTGTGACCCAAAAAGAAAAAAAAAAAGAGTAAGGCTCAGCCTTACAGACCTAGGTCTTGCGGGCCACCTCCCAGGCCCCATGTCCTCTCCCCGGCCCAAGAGCGCACGAGGTGGCCAAGAAGCAGGAACCCTTTCCCTCGAGCATGTTCTGGAGCCCAGAACTCCCCGAGGGGCCGTGTGGCTCCTCGTTCCCGATGCCAAAAGGAATCGCAACTTGCAAGAACTCTCCAGGGAGCAGATGTTCTTCAGCGGAGGTTCTGCGGCTCCACAGTCCCCAAGACGCGGGAGGAAACTTCCTCGGGCGCGGATTAACGCGATCGCTGACCCTCCATCTCCCCGCCTGCAGGACCTTCCCGTCCCGGAGCGAGAGGGCCCCGCTCCGGCTCCGGGGGGCGCTGGTCCTGGTCCGAGGGGAACTCGGGAGGTGCCGTCCCCGGCCCCAGGCAGCCCCGGGGACTCGCACAGGCGCCGCGCCCCTCTCGGGGGTCCCCACTGCCCGGCACGCGCGACTCAACCTCTGCGTGCCTCGGTTTCCCCCCACCCTCGTCGACCCCAACGGGGGTGGCGCCGAGGGGAGCTGCCCTAAAAGTGGCGCTGCCCGGTGCAGGCGCGTTGGGGGCGCCTCTCTGCCACTCCTCCGAGGAGCCGCATTCCCGGGGCCGCTGAGGCACCCAAGGGCAGCCGGTGCCCGACCCTCCCGGGCGGCGGGCGGTTTCCTGCCCTCCCCGCCCCCACCCCGCCCTTCCCAGAACCCGAGCGGAGCGATAAGGCCCCCGACGCTCCGGAGGCCGCCGGAAGGTCGCGCGCGGACGAGCCGAGCGTCCGAGAGGACTTTCCCCTCCGGCCAGGGGCCTAAGTGGACGGAGCCGCGTCGCGCAGCCCCGAGCGACGGCCGCGGTCCCGGGGCGTCAGGCAGGGGTGCGAGCCCGGCCCTGACGCGGGGCGCGAATGAATGGACGGGCGCCGCGGCCGCCTCCTCCGGGCCTGGCAAGCCCCCCGCCCCCGCGCCCCTCGCCGCCCGTCCTCCCCGCGACCTCTGACCCCGAAAGCCCCCTCACCTCCGACCTCGTCCCCCGCCCCCCGACTTTTCTCCGGCCCCCGCCGGGCGCCCCGCGTCCTCACCCGCAGCTCAGAAGGGCTCCCGGCGCCACGGCTCGTCGGCTCGGCAGCAAAATGTCCGCGGCCTCCGCCTCCCGAGCTCCCGGCGAGTCTCCGCCGCCCGCCGCTCCGAGCCCCGCGGCTGTCACCTGCCGGGCGGAAGTGAGCGGCCCGCGCGCGGCCACTTCCGGCGCACGCACGGCCCGGGGGCGGGGTCAAGGGTGCCTCCCGGGTGGCGCGGGGCTGGGGGCGGGGCCTGGAGGGGCGGGGCCTACCGGGCTTAACCCCTCCCCGGGCCGGCTCCGGCGGGCTTCGCACGCCTCGGCTGGATGCTTGTGGTCCCCGGGCATCCCCTGTGGTCCCCTGAGCACCGCCAGCAATGATCTCTGAGCGGCGCAGAGCCAGGAGTCAGCCTCGAGCAACGCCGGGTGTGGCCCAAAAAAGAATGAAAGAGAAAAGCAACTATCTGGGCGCCGGAGCGATAGTCCAGCGGGTCGGGCCCCTGGCACGCCGTCAACCCGGGTTCGGTTGTCAGCACCCCATGTGATTCCCCGAGCCGCCTCACCAGGAGTTGATTCCTGAGCGCTGCCGATTGTGACCCAAAAGACTAAAAGAAGAAAAGAAAAACGCGTCTCCTAAAGCCTAACTAAGATAATGAGATGGAGGTGGGGAAAGTCATAGACTCATTTGAGGACTGTATTTTGTGCTACAGACTTTGATTCAGAGAAGGGCAAAATTTTACTAGATATTACTACGATTTTCTGGGGTGGGTCCAAGGCTCCACACATGCAAAACACGTGCCCTACTACAGAGGGACATTGCCCATCCTTAAAACATTGTGTGTGTGTGTGTGTGTGTGTGTGTGTGTGTGTGTGTTTGGGGGAGGAGGGTAGTGGCACGTCTAACCATGCTCAGGATTACTCCTGGCTTTGCACTCCTGGCAATGCTAAGGGGAACCATATGGGATGTTGGAGATCAAATCCTTGTCAGTCACATGAGAAGCAAACATCCTACCCACTGTGCTATGGCTCTGGCCCCTAGCTTTTTTTCTTTTCTTTTTTTTTTTTTTTTTGCAGGAAGAAAGGATGATGAGACACAAGCAGTGCTCCCAGGCCACTCCCTGTGACATTCAATTGCCAATGAGAGCCACCAGTTTTGTGCTTGGTCCCAGGCAGAACCGCTGCTTGTTCTCCAGGGTACTTGGGAATCTGGTGATGCTGGGAAACAAACGTGGGACCTTGGCTTGTCATGTGCTCCAGTCCTTTGCTTTTGTTTTATTTGTTTTTTATTTGATCAAACCCAGGTAGGCTGAGTGCAAGGCAAATATCCTACCAACTGCACCATTGCTTCCAACCTTTTGTTTCTCCTAGTTGTTCTAATTGCTTGAATCTCATTAATTATTTGATCATTATTTATATCCATATTCAATTCTTGAACTATTAAAGTGAAATGATATATTATCCATATGAGCTCGTGAATGATTCATTCTGAGTAATTATCCAATTCTACTGTTATATATTTTGTTTCTTCGTTATTCCAGCTTTGGTCCTTGGAAATACTTTAGGTTAGTGCCTTTCAACAGACTTCTATAGTGACCACCCTCCCTCAGAAAAAAAAAAGTATTTCTTTTTGTTTTGCTTTGATTTTTTGTTTTGTTTGGGGGTCACCTGGCAGTGCTAAGGGCTTACTCCTGGCTCTGCTCAGGGATCACTCCTGGGGTGCCAGAGACCAGACCCGAGTTAGCCACATGCAAAGTAAACACCCTACCCTCCTTACTATCACTCTGCTCTGTTGAGACCCCATTTCAGAAGTCAGTCAGGGAAGGAGGCGCCTGTGAACTCCAAGCTAGCACTATCCACTGCACTATCGTGCCTGAGCCTTTTCTTATGTTCTGATACATCAAACAGTCCTAGGTGCATCTCCTATCCCTACCCCAGTTTCTGGAATCACTTATTTTTCCAAATAACTACCCTGGGTTCAAGATTGTGTTAACTAGGTTTATTAACTGTGCTTGCTTCTGGTTGATATAACTTGGTTCCCTGAGTACGTGACATGCTTCTTTTCTAATCCTTATGTTACTCTGCAGGCTGTGTGCTGTGATTATTCTTATTTCCAACGGATACAGTTTGCAAACGGCAGGTGGAAAATTTGACCCCAGCTCCGTGGGCCTGCAACACCCCCGGGGGGGATCATGGGAGTTCAGGAGCACCTGAAGGAACAAAAATCCACATACACAGCTGCAGGCTCTGAGGCTGCGGCAGATCTCCTACCTACGTGTCCATTTGGCAAGGTTGAAGGACAGTTCTCAGAACTGAAGGACAGTTCTCCAGATCCTGGGGGAGCGGACGGGCGCAAGAGTGAGGCCCTGCAAGAATGGGAGGAGGAAAGGAAACAAAAGCCCTTTTGGTCACTCACACCCGCATGATGTCCGCCTGGCTCCTGGCCTGGTTGACTCCATCAGTTGGCTCAGCATGTAGCCACAGAATAAGTGAGTGTTATTCACCAAACACACATGTGTTTGGTGGCCATGAGGCACTCCCCCACCCCGGCCTGCTGCTGCCCCCGACAGACACATGAAGGAGGGAACAGGACCACCAGGACCACCAGGCTGGTTAGTGATCAGTCGCAGTTTATTCCAACCTTGTCTCCCTCCTTCCAGTCTCTCCCACTCCGGTATCTGTCTCCTCCACGCTTGTCTCTCTGCGTTCCATCTAGCAGCCTTAGTTTAGAGCCCAACCTCCAGAAGTTGGGGGAGCCACTATACCCGGGTCAGATACCACAGTCAACATATGTGAAGCCCTTCTAAGACAAAAGATCTCCTGCTAGGAGATCCATCTGCTCAAGGGTGGGAGGGGAGGGTTGTTTTTTGGGGTTTTCTTTTTTTTTTGTTTTTAGCTTTTTGGGTCACACCTGGCTATGCACAGGGGTTACTCCTGGCTTTGCACTCAGGAATTACTCCTGGCCATATGGGATGCTGGGAATCGAACCCAGGTTCCGGGTCAGCCCCGTGCAAGGCAAAAGCCCTACCCACTGTGCTATCGCTCCAGCCCTGGACATTTTTTTTGTTTTTGTTTTTGTTTTTGTTTTTTTTAATCTGAGGACATACTTCTTCTTTCCTTAGTCCATAAACAATCATCGTAAGAGTTAATTACTTAATACTCTGTCAAGTCATTTTGTATAAACACAGTAAGAGATATATTAATCTTATCGGGTGACTCTCCTAGGGCCATCTCGCTGTAGTTCTCAGACTACAGTGCTCAGGTCAGATAGTTCTTTCCTAACCCTAGCATGGTCCTTATCCAGTTGTTACTCTGGATCATGACAGAATTTGTCCATGACCGTGCTCTTAACTTATAGTTAAATATTATGGCGCTTGGCCTGTCCCATTGCAATGCCAAGGTAGCTCACAGCTTGCCCTGGGTCCATCCAGTTCCTTCGTTGGAACCCTGCTTTTGGGGTGCTAGGAACTAAGGGAAACTAAGGCCTAAGTTGAGTAAATATGACAGATGCCCCCAAATTATTCAGAGTCAATTAACTCCCAAGTTACAAAATCATAGCATTACTGTCTTTCTTTGTCTATACAAAAAGAACATTGCTCTAAAGTAAACTATGCAGGGGCTGGAGAGATAGCACAGCAGGTAGGACGTTTGCCTTGCACGCGGCTGACCCAGGTTCGATTCCCAGCATCCCATATGGTCCCCTGAGCACCACCAGGAGTAACTTCTGAGTGCAGAGCCAGGAGTAACCCCTGTGCATCGCCAGGTGTGACCCAAAAAGCAAAAAATAAATTAAAAAATAAAAAAAATAAAGTAAACTATGCAAAGGACATAAAGGAAAAGAAAAAAGGGGTATTTCACTTACAAACACAAATCCAGAGATCTCTGAAGAGTTTGACTTTACAAGTGGCTTCACAAGTCACTGCTTCAGGGAAATGAATGATTAACAGGTAGAGAAAGCAGAGCACAGAGAAGTTAAAAATCACAATCACGACCACCCTGTTGTTCGTCGATTGCCTCGAGCAGGTGCCAGTAACGTCTTCTTCATCCTAGCCCTGAGATTTTTTTTTTTAAAGTGCCATATTCAAGGCTTTTTCAGGGTTAGGAGAATGAGACCCATCATTGTTACTGGTATTTGGCATATTGGGTACGCCACAGGGAGTTTGCCAGACTCTACCGTGTGGGCATGTTACATTTGGTAGCCTGCCAGTTTGACCAAATTAGGAATGAGATGATAAGATGATAAGATGTCTTGTTCTCTCCCAGGAGCTGAGTGTGATGATCTCTGGATCCTGGCCGTTGTTGGAGTTACACGGCAGTTGGTGGGTGTAACTGTCTAGTTACTGGCAGGTCCAGTCCCAAACTGTGCAGGCTTGGAGATCTCAGCCCCGGGTCCCACACACCTGGGTTCCTCTGTCAGTTCTTTTATGCGTGAGGCTCATCCAAGTGTGTGGAGAGTGCTCCCAGCAAGGCCTTGGCTGGGCCTCGGTGGTCTTCAGCTGTTGGGCCCTGGTGGAGACAGTCAGGCATAGGGTAGGAGACTCTGCCTTGTTCTCTCCCAGGAGCTGAGAGAGAAGCTTCTTACTTCACTTCACTGCTCTGAAGTTAAAAATGAATATTAAAAATGAGGAAATGAAAAAAAATGAGGAAATGGGAGTGCCTCAGGAGCATTGTGATGGGTATTACTCAGTAAACCTTAGCTCCTTGTGGCAGAGGAGAAAGCACAAACCAGGGGCTTGGAGCAATAGCACAGCGGGGAGGGCATTTGCCTTGCACGCAGCCAACCCGGGTTTGATCCCCAGCATCCCATATGGTCCCCTGGGCACCACCAGGAGTGATTCCTGAGTGCAGAGCCAGGAGTAACCCCTGTGTATTGCCCGGTGTGACCTAAAAAGAAAAAAATAAAAAGAAAGAAAGCACAAACCAGTGTTACCCTACAGCTCAGGCAGCCTGCCCCAGTGCTGCCTTGACTGTGCTGGCTTTTTGATTTAGGGCCACACCCGGCAGTGCTCTGGGCTTGCCTGGCTCTTAGCTCAGGGGTCACTCCTGGCAAGCAGCTTACCTGCTAGACCCCTGACTTTGAGTCTTAGGCAGGTGTTTGGGTTTATCTCTGTGAGAATCACCAGAATTCTTTTTTTGGGTGGGGGGGGCAGAAGGGGGAAGGCTGGTTA